ACGGTTTCTCTGGCGCATAATAGTTGCGCAAGCAGGGACTTATCGTCGCGATGATAAAGAAGACCGGTTTCCTTCGGCCACGAGGAAAAATTACACGCGAGGAAATACATCGCTCGTTCGAATCACCGGTCGCTTTCCTCAAACGCAACCGATTGCGAGCCGGTCTACTTTCGACTTCGTAAATCATGCATCCGAGGCGTAAAATGTTTTCGTTTGTTTTTGCTTCTTTCTCTTCTTTTTTTTTTATTTTTTCTTATTTTCATCTATTTTCTTAGAATCGATGAAAGAAACCTATTTGTGTAGAAATTGTACAGATGAATAGAATGAAATAGATAAGACAAGAATGTATCAAGATGTGGTAATGATTTTATTCTATTATATACTTATATACTTATATACTTACTTTTTATATTTATAGATGTGATTTTTCTTTAATTCTCTTTTTTTTTTCTGATTCTTTTACAGATATATGTTACAAAGATCATTTATATTTAATTAATTTTATGAAGCATAGCCAATATAGAAAATTTTTATGTGAGTATTTTTCAATTTTATTTGAGCAGTAATAGAATAACGTCCAGACTTTTAATTTTCCTAATAAATATCAATTTTAAAATTTACTCAATTCAATATTATAACTCATTTTTTTTAAAGAAAGTTTCTAAAGTTCCTAAAAAATAATTGTTATCACTTTATATATTCAATTTATCCAATCACTTACCTCCTCTTACTTAATCCAAATTGGATTTTATTAAATACTTACTTTCTAATTTTAATTTTAAAAATTCAACAAATAGAAATAANTTTCGTCGAACATGGAAACGAACATTAAAAATATTTCTACCTCAATTTTTTATTTTATTACATTNNATCTTTGACATTATATTAGCAACGACGTTCACTGTAAAATTGTCTAACCTGAAAGGTCGGTTGAAATGACTAGCTTGAAACACGGAACGATAAGAATGAAACACGAATTGTCTCTTGGTTGTAATTACATGAAAAACAGAATCACCTTGGTACTCGTGTGATAATATACCTCCACCGATGTATTTACACTATTCTTAGAAATACTATCGCCAATGTGTAAATAAACGGCGCTCGAACCAGAATGCCAGGAGAAAGTAAATACTACGGATTTTCGTTTCCATTTCAATGATATTGAAATAATCTCTTTTTAATTAATCCTTAAAATCAACCAATTTTTTAAGAATGAATTATTAAAATTTAAATTAGAAAGAAATTCTTTTTTATTTAATTGTTTATAGAGATAATTTCTTTTTTTTTTTTTTTTTGGAAAGAAAGAATAATCTATTAAAATT